ATCTTTGCAACTCTAATAATACAGCAATCTCTTTCACAAGAGTCCTGAGTATTGCATATGATAGGAAACTCACTATTCTAAGAAGCACCTCTTTCCTGCTTTAGCATCTCTATTATGAGTTCTTTCTAGTCTTAAATGACTGTTCAAATTCACATTTCTTTTTCCCCCCCACTGGTCAAAATCATTCCTTCAGGATCTGCTAATCACCTGAAGGACTTTGACCTCTTCCTGCAATGTGAAGACAGTTTCCATGTTATTCCCGAGTTCCCTATTCTCAACCCTAAGCAATTCTGATTTCTTTCAATGCCTATCTCATTGTCATAGGATAGGCCTCAGGGCTAAGAAACAGCTGCCTCCGCACAGCCTTTTGACGTGCTTCCATTGCTAATACTGAATTGTCTCCTTTACAAAGCCATTTGGCCGTAGCACAAGCTTAGGTTTCAAGAGGGGCAAATATGCCTAGAGAAGTCAATTATCAGGCTAATCCTTAAATGGTAACTGCAAAGAATGTAGTGGGCAATGTCCGAGCCTTCTGCCAACAAATGCCACTTTCTTGCAGCAACTAGGGATTTTTGGGCAGCAGTATTGTAATAATTTGCCAATTATGCCTGCTTCAGAACCATTGCCAAAACAATCCAATGCTTTCCATGCCACTACTGTTGACAGGACAGCTAAGGATTTCAACATTTCCTTTTACAGTCTGAATAGAAGTCCTCTGCCTTGGGGACTGTGACAATATTTGATATCTTGAGAGAGGGAAAATGCACGGGCCAGAAAGTGAGACTGGAGAGAAGAAGAGAAATGCTAATGAGAGTGAACAAAGGCAACAAAGTGACAATTATGCAAAGATTGGGCTCTGAAAGCTTGCACCAAACTGATGTTTGTGTATCTATCAGAGGGCAAATCTGCAAAATTGAAAAAGTACATTATTGGAAGAAAAGATTATAACAGTAAATTCCACATATTAACTAAAATAAAATAAAACAAAAAACAAAATGAACACTTTCAATTGACTATCAACCCAGGTGTCTCAACTTTGAATCTGGAGACAAGGTGGGAAAGATTATAATGATATTTAAAGTTTGTGTTCAATATCCAAAGCTCATTAAAATAATTAAGTGGAAACTATAATTGAAAAGAAAATAAACTTAAAGAGATGTGAACAGAAGAAATAATGTCAGGGGCTGTTCGAAATGTAACAGAAGTATGGGGAGAGACAAAGGAGAAGTATGAGGGGAAATTCAATGGGAATAGAGTGAGTTGAGGCAGCATTTTTGAAACCATGTTCCCCCAAATCCTTTATGATCTAATGAATTCTATAGGGAGATATAAAAGGAGAGTGCGCAGGACCTTCCTACCTCTACATCAAACACAAGGCCATACTTTTTACATACACAGATTTACATAAATTTATCTTGAGGAATGGGACAGTTATTTAAAAATAATATTTGAACAATTAAAAAAAACTACCAAAAGCAATGAGCCACTGAAAGTTCTCAATTAGGGAGTGATCTGTTCAAGCTGTGCTTTCGGAATCTGGCAACCAAGTGTCTGATGGATTAGAATAGGGCCCATTTAGGAGCAGGCACCTTGATTAAAAGGCTATAATAATAATCCAGGTGCACAGTATTAAGTGCTTGATTTGAGAACATAGTTGTGAAAATGGAAATTTAAAAAGAATATGAACATTTTTTAAAGGCAAAATTCAATTTTAGGTTTAATGTCTATGCATTTGGTACAAAGCTAATTTACATCCATATACAATATTTTAGATTGAAGAACTCAAAATGGATAAATTTCAGGGATGACTGACTGGGGCAGTAAAAAGGCCACAGAGAAATCTAGGGTTTCGAAGATGGTGAATATGAAAGTCATTAGAATATCCATGAAGAGATGATGACTAACCACAGAAATGTGAACCTGAATTTGAGAAGATGCATGAGGGATGAGAATGTGTGTTTGGAAGGCATCCCCATGCAGGCAGTAGCTAGAACAATAGAACAGAGAGACCCTGATGGGAGAGACAATTATGATCAAAGGGCTGAAGACCAAACCAAGGCTTAGAAAACAAGAAGAAGAAGTAATTCCATAGGGTCTTCCCAGGGCTCATGCTCAGGCACTCATTTGATAACATTATTTGATAGGCTCACTAATATTGATCTTTTTAATTTTCAGGAAATTTGATCATTCTGATATGAAGTCTCCAGTGGGTATCTATTGATCTCTCAAACCAAGCTTCTAAACCCCTTGAGAGAGTACACATTAAAGACCATATACTACTACTTGCAAGTAATTAGGTAATGCTGGGAGGGGGAAAATGTCCAAATGTACAGTGGAATGAAATGAAACCTTTAATAATGATGTCGGTCTGGATGATGTGCTTATACATATAAAGAGTCTCAAAAACCAATACTCCCACGGGCGAGGGAATAGCCAAGTTTGTTGCGGTTTCCAATGAATGACATCAGCCCCATGTAGGTCTCAATCAAAATGGGTTCCATTAGCACCCTAAATTCCTTTTTGCTTCCAGATCCTGTGGGATTCTTGTGGGCTTTCTCGATAGTTGGAACAAGTTTAGATGTCAACCCAGACATCTGAAGAGAAAAAGAAAACACAGAATTAGTGATTGCATGGTGGAACAAGGGCTGCCTGAGCCAGCCCTCTGAGGCTATAGTGAATCAGTTTTTCTCACTTCTTAACTAGAAATCATCTCTCAAAACAATTAACATAGCTTCTGTTAGTGTTTTAGTACTATTAAGCTCTTAATAATTTATGTACATAATAAAATGGTCTTGCTTATTTATTTTTATTATTGATTCATAATTTGTACAACATTACGAAATCTGTGCAATAAATATTTACTGATTGTGATTATGAATCAGGCAACCTCTGGAATGTTGCTGAGTATTTAAAAAGCATTAAATAGTTTCACTATGAAAGCAGTGATATCATAGGAGAGAATCTTTATTAAGAAATGAACGGGTAACAGTATACAAAGTTCATGTTTATAAAAAGCAGCAAAAGAAAAGCATATATTGATAAAGAGGCACAGACAAGGGAGAAATAATATTTGATTGAGGGATCACCAATGGCTTCAAAAAAGGGAGATTACTAAAATAATCCTCAGAAGATTATTAGGCGGGGCTAAGGGAAGGTCTGTTAGGTAAGGCTTAATCGACATCTAGGGGACGCTGATGGCATATAAGCGTGGAACTGTCCGTGGTTAGATTTGCCATGCGTAATGATAACCTGCCTGAGAGTGAAGCCAACAGAGACGAAAAAGATTAAGACATGGAGAAACCTAAATTCTTGAAAAAATCATGGGGATTACTAGATCATCATTTCTTGGCCTTTTAAGTGAAATGAATCAGAAACAGCCTTCGGTTTGTCACGTCAGGATGAATTGGGTATTTTCAGCTGCCTTCAAAGAAGTGAGTAATGTAAAGAGCATCCCAAACAATATATTAATGAGGACATGAATCAGGAGAGCTGATATCTTTGTATTTTCAATGACTCTTTTACACCTACTATTTCATTTTCTACCCATATGATTACCTCTAGATTTAAAATCAACGATCATAGAAGGCAAGTGAGCTGCCCACGGACACTTCACTCCCTACTATATGGTAAAACTGAACCTCGAGAATAAGGGCCTGCACAAAGTGTGAACAAAATCTGTTTCCTAGGAAACTGGAAGTCTAAATTACAAGTCTAAATTAAAACTTTAGAGTTCAGTTCAAGTTCAGTGCAAATTATTAAGTATCCTCTATAAAGAGACCATTGTTCTACTCAATTCTCTACAAGGAAGTCAGGTTTTGCTTTAAGAGACTAACACAAGAGTTTCTGTTTGTACTGATTCAATGATTCCCAATAGCTTTTCATCATAATCCATTTTTGTTGTTGTTTCTGGATTCTTATTTTATACTAAAATGCCCTACAAAAAACCACTTTTCCACTTTAGGCTTGAGTGAACTTACTAATAAGAAAAAAGTATATAAAATTTTGAATACATATATTATTGCTAGTTGACCTAACACATAAGCAACAATAATCTCAAACAAACCTTACTCAAGTAAAACCTCTGCAATTGATTTACTTTGTGGTATTAGAAAACTCACTCCCCCCAGTGGAGCCTCAGTTTGGGCTTCCAAAGAGGGGTAAATAAAGCATTGAAGTGGTTTCTTTAAGACAATAGCAAAGAAAGCTCTGTTGGTCCTAACCCAAAGATCGGTCCTTTGAACCCACGTAGTCACTCCTCAGAAGACAAGTCTTAATTTGTTATTATTGTTGGGTTTTTCTTTTTGATTTGTATGTTGTGCTTTGTTTTGTATGTTTCTCTGTGTATGAAATGCAAGGTATCTATAGATGCAGTATTTGGAGGGACGGTTTCTTCAGAGCCCTCGGGGTGCAGCGGTGATGTGTTGGGCTGCAGTCCTCATGGTCACAGGGAGAAACCCCATCAGCTCCCCAGGAGGATGGCATTCTCCCCCAGGAAACAGTTAGTCTTGGGAATGGGATGAGTCCTTAGGAGTCAGCATGGATTCTATGGTGGGGAGCTTATGTTTTGGGGGGTTGGGGTTATGGCAGGGGAAGTTTGGGGGGAAATGAAGAGTTCATAATAATGAGTGCAAGAAAGATAAAGATATTCTAATATTTATTGTGGTGATGATTACAAAACTCTTTTTCATATGATTGAACTACTAAATTGGATGATATGTGAAGGACATGCGAATGAAACTACTGAAAAACCTCATTCAGCAGGAAGACTCTTTGGTGCACAATGTTAAATAAAATAATGTTGAGAGTAATTTGCATTGCTAAATAAAGACATTTTTAAAAGATTACAACCAAAAGCAATCCTATGGAGCTGTGCTACTTCGAACCCCCGGGTCCCTCACGGGTGGGGTCTGCCCGAATGGCAGCCAACAACATAAAACGAGAAGGAAAAACTGTTAGTGAGTTTGATTCTGAAACCACATAAAGTTTACGAGTGTACTTCTATATTCATGGATTTTCCAAATAAACGAATGTATGTATCCCTCTTTACTTTTCTTCTAAGTAATAGTTGTCCAATGGTCTATGAAAATGTTTATTTAAAAAACAGATGCACATATCCACTGAGGTGAAAGAATCTAACAGCAGGTAGTGTTCTGCTTATTTTCCATGAGTTCCCGCCTGTAGCAGCAAAGAGGGATGGAGGACAGTCCTGTTACCTGGCCCTGACCTTCTGTGAGGCAACGGTAGGAATCTAATTGTGGTGTCACTGAGTAACAAATCACAGACACATCACCCAGGGATGCTAGAGTGACACATTTGTGGTAAAGGAGATCCTTCCTTCCTTTCAGTGAACACCACCAAATGCTTTAGTTAATTGGATAAGATAAGCAGAAAGATAGAATTCCTTTTCAGCTTTGGAAAGAGGAAACTAAAAAGGAAGAAACACATTAGAGATAGACTTTTAAACCCTGTGTGTTAGAACCATGCCATTCCAAGTTCTGAAGTGATTTTAAAGTGTGTCGATGCCAACCACGCATCTTGAGTGTTAATTGACATTGACACATCCTCATGAAGCAGTCATACTCTTCTACATTGACGTTTTCATTGACAGGAAAACCACAGCTACATGAAAATGCCCCGCATCACTTTGGGTAAATTCTTGGGGCTAGGTGGAAAGAACCAGGTATATTTCTATGCCCCATGAGATACAGGTAGTGAAACCTTGGAAAAATCATTTAAACTCAAGGAGTTTTAGAAAACAATAGTAATATAACAAGTATAAATATAAATACAAATCTCACAAAACAATTGTAAAAATTTAAGTGAAGCATTAAAAATATTTTGCAAGCCATCTTAGTATAGATGCACACATACGATTATTTTCAGGGTGCAAAGGATGTGCCTTCTTTATTCCTATTTAACCTCAATACCATAATTTCCATGCCAATTTTAAAAAAATGTGTATCATCTAGAGACTCAAGAAAGTATTATAACAAATACAACACATTTTAAACTAATATAAAGTCCCCTTGATGCCAAAAGAAAAATTAAATTCTGCTCAGGAACTACGACCTCAAAAATGTAGGTTGAGTATATCCCCTCAAGACAGTTCTCAATTAAAAAGGTAAAAATACCAACTGAAGAGAGGAGAAAGCAAGAGACACCACAAGACTCTGATTTTTTCTTTATTTGCTTTCACCACTATGTAATTTCTTCTAAAATATTATTTCTAATATGACTGTTGTCCTGCATGTAGAGTTAACCATTAATTTTGTGTTTATTAGCTCAAGACCTATTTTCTACAGGTAAAATGTTGCATCTTAATGTCAAAAATATTATGTGAATTTTCGGTTGCATAATCATCTATATAACTGTACAGCTGCAATTTAGTTTTAACTTCTTTAATTTTCTATGTAATTTTACATAGAAATTCATAGAATTTTAATTCTCTGTGTATATATTCATATACACATTTTTCTATCAGTATTTGTATTGGGAGCTGACTCTGAACCATTAGCAGATTAAAGAACTGCTAAATATTGATGAAGCAACTTCACTGGGTTATACGTTCTATGACTAGACAGGCTGGGATATTACTCTCAAATAGTCTAGTGGTAGGAGACAAAAGTGAAAACAGATACATACAATTTTGATAATGACAAGTTCTCTGAGAAAAATGACATATGCAAAAGGATTAAAAAAACAAATGTTATTTTGCATAGAATAGTCAGGATTAGTCTTTCTAAGAAGGCAATACTTGAACTCAAATGATAAAAAAGAACGAGTCATGAGGGAGTAGAGAGGGCTATTCTCTGCAGAAAAACAATACGTGCATAGGCTGTAAGGTAAGGATGAGCTTAGTTTATTCAAGGAACAAGAAAAACTCTTGTAAGACCGAGAGACAAGGAATCAAAGTCTTATGGATCATACTAAGGATGCTGGATTAAAGGAAGAATTACATATGTCTCCTTTTTTTTTTAATTAAGCCTGGCTAATTTTTTTAATTAAGCCTGTGTGGAGAATCTACTGTTAGGGTCAAATATGGAAATGGGAAGATAACTCTTTAGTCCAGACTAAAGGTGATAGTGCCTTGGACAAGAACCAAAATGGAACACGTGCTAACTGGTTACATTAGGAATGTGTTCTGGAGCTATCGACACAGAACTTGCTTAACTACAGGGAATGGATGCATGAGAGAATCAAATATAACATCTCGAACTTTGAGGAATGAGGTGGATAATGACATTACTAAGCTGGAAGGCAGTGAGTTGGAAGGGGGCAAAGTTGAAACTGGTGAGGTCCTAGGATCAAGGTTTCTGTTTGAGAATTGGTTCTGGTCTAACAAGCAAGCCTTGGACCTTGACTAGACATGAAATTGGAACAGAAAGAAATACACACACCAAAAGTTCATGTCTACAGCTAACAATTTTCTATTGATAATCATAGATTTAGATGTCAACAGGAACAAAATGGATTAATATCTTTATTTAGATTTAGATGTCAAAAGGATTTTAAATGTATTAATATCTTAAATTTAAAATTTTCTAGATATTGCATTCCCTTGTGGGCAAAATCAACTCCGGTGAGAACCATTGTA